GATATTTTGGTGTATTCCAATTCAAAAGAGAAACATGATGCTCATCTTCGGGTAGTTCTTCAGACGCTTCGAGAGAAGAAGTTGTATGCCAAATTGTCCAAGTGTGAATTTTGGTTAGCTGAGATTGTTTTCCTTGGTTATATAGTCTCCATAGAAGGCATAAGAGTAGACCCTAAAAAGATTCAAGCCATAGTGGAATTACACCTCCTAAAGAATGTTCATGAAGTTCAAAGTTTCTTGGGACTTGCTGATTATTATAGACGATTCTTGAAGAACTTCTCAATGTTAGATTCACCGTTAACTAAGTTTTTATGAAAATATGTGCCTTTTGTTTGGTTGGATAAATGTCAAGAAAGTTTTAAAATGCTAAAGAGAATTGTAACAGAAGCCCAGTGTTTGTACAACCTGAGTCGGGTAAAAACTATGTAGTTTTAGTGATGCATCTCATAATGGGTTGAGATGTGTGCTTATGCAAGATGGAAAAGTTGTGGCCTATGCCTCAATATAGTTAAAAACTCATGAGATAAATGATCCGACACATGACTTGGAATTGGAGGCGGTCGTGTTTGCTTTGAAAATTTAGCGTCATTATTTGTATGGTGAATGGTGTCATATTTATACAAATCACAAGAGTCTAAAGTACTTGTTGACTCAAAAAGAATTGAATTTAAGACAAATAAGATGAATCGAGCTTCTAAAAGATTATGATTTGGTCATCGATTATCATCTCATGAAGGCTAATGTGGTTGCAGATGCACTTAGCCGAAAGACTTTTGCAACTCTATGAGCTTTGGATGCACGTATGTTAGTAAAGGAAGATGGTGCCTTAATTGCTGAGCTTAAGTTAAAGCCGATGCTTTTGGATCAGGTAAAAAAGCTGTAAGCTCAAGATGAGAAATGCTTGACAAGAATGACACAAGTAGAAAAAGAAAAGGTCAAAGACTTCAAAATGAGGGATGATGGATGTTTATATTATCATGGAAGACTTTACATTCCCGATAATGATAAACTGAAGAAATATATTCTTTCCAAGGCACATTATAGTCCTTTGACTATGCATCTAGGAGGAAATAAAATGTATCAAGATATAAAGAGTTGATATTGGTGGCCTGACATTAAAAGAGTTGTATCAGAGTTTGTTGCGAGATGTCTGACATGTCAGTAAGTGAAAGCTGAACATCAAGTGCCATTCGGATTGCTACAACTGATATTCATTCCTGAGTGAAAGTGTGAACAAATTACAATAGATTATTTTCGGGGCTACCTTTGTCTTAATGTAAAAAGGACTGAATATGGGTAATTGTGGATAGATTGACCAAGACAACTCACTTTATTCCAGATCGGGTAGATTACTCGATGGATAAATATGTTGAATTGTTTGTTAAGGAAATTGTTCAGTTGCATGGAGTGCCCATATCGATAGTGTTTGATCAAGACCCAAGGTTTACTACAAGATTCTGAAAGTCTTTACATGAGGCATTGGGTACTCGATTGAATTGAACACAACTTTTTATCCACAAATAGATGGACATTCATAACAAACTATTCAGGTATTGGAGGATATGCTAAGGGCATGTGTGATTGAGTTCAAAGGATCATGGGTAATGTATTTTCCTTTAGCGAAATTTGTTTATAACAACAGTTACCAATTGAGTAATTTAAGATGGCTCCGTATAAAGCTTTGTATAGGAGGAAGTGTCGAACACCATTAAATTGGTTTGAACTAAAAGATTGAGACCTAGGTGGCCTAGATTTGATAAAAGAAATAGAAGAGAAAGTGAAAGTTATCCAGGATAATCTTAAGATAGCCTCTGATCGATAAAAGTCTTATGTAGATTTGAAAATAAAATAAATTGAATTTTAAGTGGGAGACAAGGTATTTCTGAAAGTGTCGCATTGGAAGAAAGTATTGCGATTTAGGTGCAAAGGAAAGTTGAGTATGAGATTCATTGGACCTTATGGGATTTTGAAAAGGGTCGGACCAATAGCATATCAATTATCTTTACCTCCGGATATGGACAAAATTCACAATTTTTTTCACGTGTCGATGCTCAGAAGGTACCAATCAGATCCATCCCATATTATCACACCAGAAAAGATAGAGATCCGACCAAATATAACTTATGAGGAAGAACCAGTGCAGATCTTAGCTAGAGAAAAAAAGAAAATGCGTAACAAGAAGATTCATTTAGTTAAAGTGCTCTAGCAAAACCATAAGGTAGAATAAGCTATTTGGGAAAGAGATGAGGACATGAAGAAACAGTTTCCACACCTCTTCATATCAGATACTTATTTAAATTCGAGGACGAATTTTCTTAAGGGGGAGAATTGTAATGCCCCAAATATCGGGTTAGTGACTATATTGAAAGAATTTGAAATTTTGGGGGATTAAATTGAATAAATGATAAAGTATAAGAAATGATTTAGATATTGTGTTTAAGACCAATTAATAATAATGGAAAAAAGAAAGGGTATTTTGGTCCTTTAAGGGAAAATGGATTTAAAATTTATTTTAATTGGGGTATTTAAGAAGAGAAAAAAAGGGGAAAAGTAGAAAAACAAGCTAAGTCATATTCTCTTCTCCTTCTCGTATTCCCGTTCTCCTCATAGCCAAAGGTAAGGCTTCGTCTAACTAGTTTTTCTTTTGTTTTTGGTTTGTTCTTGAAACATTAAGTGATGTGTAAGCTTAAAGAAGGTTTAAAGAGGATTAAAACTAAAAGATTGATGATTTATTTGAGATATAATAAAATGAGTTTTTGAGTGATTTGTTGAAATATGAGTTTTTATTGATCTTTACAAGTATATTTAACTTGTCAAAAAAGTAAATAAGAGATTAGAAGCCTTGGATGTGATTAAAAACATGTTAGAAAAAGTAGTATGATTCTTGGTTTGGAGTGTTCTTTAGAGAATTTGGGTGTTATAAGAAGCTAAATGGAGGAAAGTTAGTTGGGTTAAGTAATAGTGAGTTTAATGGTATTATTGGAGGTAAAAGTAAGAAATTTAAACGAAATTAGTGTAAAAATTGAGCTGAAAAATGGAAAATATGGGTAAGGGTATCAGTTTGGGAAGAACAATACCGATACTATAGGTTTAAATTTGAAGAAATACGATTAACAATTTAGATACTGATGCAATTAGTATCGATACTGATGTGGGTATCTATATTAAGAGGAAGGTATCGATACCATGGATTCTAGAATACAGAAATTGTATCGATACTGAAATGGAGTATCGGTACCATAATATAGAAGTATCGATACCATTGTAGGGGTATCGATACTATTGAGCTTGGAAAATTTAGGATATGATGAATTTTGATAGAAATTGAATATAATAGTACTTTTGAGTATTATTAAAAGAATAAATATTAGATAGTATACTAAAATTGATATGGTATGTGCACTTAATGGATGCTTGTGTAGATCATAACCAATCTCCTGAGTCAAGCAAGAAAAAGGGCAAAGATAAAGTTACCGAATAGTCAGACATCATTACAGTATACTAGTGAGGCTTATCAGGTGAGCGTATTTATTGTACTTGTATGAAATGAGGAAGACTCGCGATTAGTCAACCTCGAATGTTTTGTTAAATATATGTTTTACAACATCTTGGTATTATTTTCATAACGTGTACGATAATGATATTATGAATAAGTTTTAGAGTATAAACTGCTCTGAAATGAATGGATAAATATTGATGTTGTGCAATGGTTATCGATGTTGCCAAAATAGATGTCTAAATATGTGAAATTGACTTAAAAGCCCATTGTATGTACATTGAGCGTTATAGGTGCATTTTGGTATAAAAGGTGCCACTAATGAAAATTATCGATCGATTTTGATTAATGCATAATGGTGCATTATCATCATAAAAGGTGCCACTAATGAAAATTATAGATCGATTTTGATTAATGCATGACGGTGTATTATCGACATAAAAGGTGCTACTAATGAAAATTATCAATCGATTTTGATTAATGCATAACGGTGCATTATCAGCATAAAAGGTGCCACTCATGGTATTCATAAAAGATGAATGAACATTTCGATACTTCGGTGCAATGTATGTACCTTACATTCTCATTTGACATACATTGGGCAAAATAAAGGAAAACTGGGAAAAATATACGGAAAAATAGGTATGATGGGCATACTAAGAATAGTTTTGATGACTATATGAAAGAAACTTTGTTTAACTGAGATGGTTTTAAATGATTTTTATGAAGTATACGATTTAGTTCGTATTTCAATATACGTGATATACTTATGTATGAGTTTTAGTTCCTTTATATTATTATGCCTCATTAAGTAAATACTTAGCTTGTGTTGATTTCACGAGTAGGTAAAATCAAAGACTGACAGAGTAAAGAGTGCATAAGAGATCATGAATCCAAGGTTGACTCATCAGTAACTATAGGACAATTATGTCTACTTTTAATAATTAGATGACATGTATTTGAATTTATGAAAATGCTCTGGAATGTATTAAAGTTATAATTTTTGTAATATGTTATAAAGAATGTTTTATTATTATATTAAAATGTTTTGTTTTATTTCGAATCAAAATTTTATGGGTTTTACAAATAAATAAATATTTTTAAAAGTCATGTGACACCTGTGACTTGAGTATGGAAATGTATACAAGAAATGGGTGTTACAAACCTGGCCACTTGATGTCTTTTTATGCCCCCACCAATTATTTCTCAACACATGAATTTGACTATTAACTCACCATCAACATATCTTTGCCGTTAACGTTATTAATAAATTTTTTTCAAGAAAAACCTCTTTCTAAGTTGATGGTCTCTGAAAATTATTGAGATTTTAAGTATTGAATCTGAAGTCGGATCTACAACATAAGAAGAAAATGTTGACCCAAAGAAAGGTCGAAAGCATTACATACGTCCTTACGTAATGCGGGGTATTGTAAACATCGGTCGTTACGTAATCGATTTCCGCACCTTCTTGTCTTTTAAATTGTCCCCATAAACCCCACCATACCCACCACACACATCTCCACCAAACTTAGCATCAGCTTTCACAGCTCAAGAATGGCGAATTCAGTAGTTGGAAGGATCAAGTTGGGTTCCCAAGGCCTCCAAGTGTCGGCACAGGGCCTTGGATGCATGGGGATGTCTGCTTTCTACGGTCCACCGAAGCCAGAACCCGACATGATTGCTCTCATCCACCATGCAATAAACTCTGGTGTTACCCTTCTTGATACCTCCGATGTTTATGGTCCCCACACCAATGAAATCCTTGTCGGAAAGGCACTCAAAGATGGTTTTAGAAACAAGGTCGAACTGGCAACTAAGTTTGGTATAGCTTTTATCGATGGGAAAAGTGAAATCCGGGGTGACCCTGCTTATGTGAGGGCGGCTTGTGAAGGTAGCTTGAAACGTCTTGGTGTTGATTATATTGATCTTTATTATCTGCATCGGGTGGATACCAGGGTCCCTATTGAAGTCACGGTTTGTTTTTGTTTCAACTTTTTTTTTGGTCCTTTGTTATGATTGGTATTATGGATTTAAATTGTGATATTTTGAATACCCAGATTGGAGAACTTAAGAAACTAGTTGAAGAAGGGAAAGTGAAGTACATAGGTTTATCTGAGGCGTCTGCATCGACTATTAGGAGGGCTCATGCTGTTCATCCAATAACTGCTGTGCAATTGGAGTGGTCATTGTGGTCTAGAGATGCGGAGGCAGATATTGTTCCTACTTGCAGGTTGTTTATCAACAAGACCTAATGATTTTTGTTAAAAATTTACTGATTTGGGGTTCTTGTTTTGATGGGATTGTTTGAATTCTTTCAGGGAACTTGGGATTGGGATTGTTGCTTACAGTCCTTTGGGGAGAGGGTTCTTTTCATATGGGCCGAAAATGGTGGAAACTTTGGGCGAGGGTGACTTCAGAAAGGTTTGTTATTTGTAGATATGTTTTACCATTGCATATTTGTACTTTCAGTCATATCTAGTTTCACTTTTTTGGTGTATATTCTTAATTGAGATATGTAATTCAGAGAAAATCTACATCTATACTGGCATAAGAAAATTAAGAGTTTCTGGACATGAGAAGAGTTTTTGTATCTGACATCTAGTATTTCCTTGATGCTTAAGTTGTTCTGCAACAGTCTCCTATTTGCTAGCATACTCTTACATTACTTGCACTTTAGGAGTGAGTGTCGGAAGGGTCATTTGAGGTTCATATCATATCTCCATTCCCGCATCCGTAAAAGTTTTGGACACAGATACTTTAAAGCATATGAAAAGTTGGAGTGATGTAGGCATCCTCTATAACAAATACCTCTGGATTTTAGTTTCAAGGTGCCTCAATGCTAAACTCATGTAAATTGGGTTTAACTTGATGTTGATGTTTACTAGGTTGAAATTTTCCAGTTTGTCTCTATCTGTCCTGTGGTAATGGCTGAGTAGTTTAGAACTGATGTTCGATCATATTCGTAATGTTTTCCTCTTTTCTGCCATATTCCCCTGCCATTATGTAGTGTATCACATGCATCAAGCAAACACCTAGTGAAACAAAATGCTGAGGTGGTAAGCTTTGAGTCCCTTTTCAAATATTTTTGTCAAAACTGTATCGAGTAGTAATGCCCTCAATTCGGCAGGTAGAGAATTTCTGAGGAGTCTGTTATCTTATATATAATAGTAATCATTGGCTTCTTCTTGAGGCTCACCATAAGCAAATCAGTTTAAAGTATCTAATGTTCCTTGAATTGACCTTTCTAAAATTTGTGCTATTAATCAAAGTCATGGGCTTACTGAAACGTCGTTGAGTCATGCATCTGTATTATTTACAGAGAAGATTTTGGTGTGGATCATCTTTATTTTTGAACGAGATAATCATTTGAATGAATGTTTGTTTGTCACAGCATATGCCAAGGTTCCAAGGCGAAAATCTCGAGCATAACAAACGACTGTATGATCGTGTTAACGCGATAGCAACAAAGAAAGGGTGCACCCCATCACAGCTTGCATTGGCCTGGGTTCATCACCAAGGGAACGATGTGTGTCCCATTCCTGGAACCACCAAGGTCGAAAACTTCAACCAGAACATCCAAGCTTTGTCCATAAAATTAACACCTGAAGAGATGGTGGAGCTGGAATCCATTGCTTCAGCAGATTCCGTGAAGGGAGACCGATATAGCGCAGCTATCACAACCTACCGTGAGTCTGATACTCCTCCCTTGTCTTCATGGAAACCTACCACATCGATATAACCTTCAGTACGAGTTATGGAACTAATGCAAGACCTTGGTAGTGTTTCCATAAACAATAAGTCTCTACTTTGTTTTGAGAGAACAAATATTCCGTTGGATGTAATAAGAGGTCTTTTGATGATATATGGCAAGCTTGGTTGTAGGTTTGTCGGCATATGTTGAGATCGTCTATTCCTGTTTATTAAAGCAAGGGTTTCTGAAAAGTGCTATTACAGTAAGTTGCATGATCATATTAGCCTGAGTTGCTTGTATTTTTATTTTTTTACGTATGTCCGACAATTGCAACTTCTTTCCAAATGGAAAAGACTCGATCTCCTGAAAACCGAGACAGGGTCTCCTTGATACTCCACTCTGCCATGTTTGATGTCATTTGCAGGGATGTAAATTGAATATCAGGTGTAATTTTTCGGAAAGTACCATGTGTATTGTGCATTTACGGAATAAAGATGGAATAATATGGGAATGCAACTCACCATGATCGAATCGAACATCAAACGCAGAGTAAGGGCTGTAAGCAGAAGATTGAATTCTGAAACATTTTGATTACTTCAACCGGTGTGTCACACTTGTTTGCACTGGAGTAGCAATCAAGGAACTTGCATTTGCTTTTCGAGGCTAAGCATTGGCTGATAACCTGGCCCCGGATGGAATCATTCATGAGCACCGACGAAAGGAATAGATTTCCTGTGTCCCCTCTTGATGTCTTTTTACTCCTCACCAATTATTTCTTGACAAGTGAATTTGACTATTAACTCACCATTAACGTATCTTTGCCGTTAACGTTGTTAATATAGTTTTCAAGAAACCTTTTTCTCAGTCAATGGTTTCTGGAAATTAATGAGATTTTCAGTATTGAATTTAAAGCCTGATCTACAACATAACGAAAAAAATATTTAATCTATAGTCGTCGTCGTGTTACATCATCATCATTTAATGTCAACGGATGAGTTGCTGTCTTTGACGGATTCAGACAGCAAGTGAACAAGACACTTCCTCCCAAAACCTGAATTAGAAACCCAAAACCTTTTTCTCTGTCGTATACAAGAATTTCATTAGCAGGTCTTGTACAAGACACTTGGAATCTTTCCAAGTGGATTCCATACCTGATGCATCGATAGCTGGAATTCTTCGTGTCCTACCTGCAAGCACTACTACCCGACTGAAATAAATAAAAAAGGCTTCTGCTAACTGCATTTGGAATGATACAGGGCACCAAAAATGTAGAAATTTTAATGTCGGAAGGCATAATTAGATGCATTAAGGAAGCCATAATTTAATTATAGATTATTTAATTAATAACATGATAATAAAAGCCGCGACGCATGTATTGGGGACAATAACAGGAAAAGCCGACAATCAGTCTCCACTGTCATCGTTACATTCCATCTTCAATCAGTGGTATTGTATTCCAACACTGTTTCCTATAAAATTTCTCCTCTTTTTCAGTATATTTAGGGGTTTTATTGCCGCTCTCTTTTGGAATTTGTTAATTTAAGATTGTTATTTGCGAAAATGTTTCTGGGTTTTTTTTGTTGTTGTTGCTGAGGTTTATGATTGAGCTTTCCCTATAAATTTAGATATTTTGAGATGTTCTTGAGATAAATCTTGAAAATTTGTTTCTGGGTATTTCACCGAGTAGCCTATTTCTGTAATTATGCTAAATTCAAAGTCTTACATGGATATTTTTTGGGGTTTTCCAATCCAGTACATAACCCATGCTTAATTCAAAATTTAAAAGAAACCCGTAAAGAAAATGAATAAAGATTAGTATTTTTAACTTGAATATGAACAATGCTGAAATATAGTTTAGATTGATTCTTTGTGTATTCATTGCATCTTGCTATACTATATGGGGGAAAAAAACTGATTTTGTTTATCTTTTTAAACGTACTAGACAAAATTTTTTATATTTTTACTAACTTTTGGGTGCAATTGCTTCTTCCAGGGAACCAAAAAGATAACTTTTTTTGTCAAGTTCTTAGTTTGATTGGAGTAATTTTCAAACTTTAAGGTTTTAATTGAATTTTCTTATCGTAGAAACTCAAGGAGCCAAAGTTACAAACAGCCTCTCTACTTCATCCGATATATTACTTTTCTAGGTCTCTCTCTCTCTCTCTCTCTCTCTCTCTCTCTCTCTCTCTCTCTCTCCTAAGTTCACTCATTGAGTTTTATCTGTTAGACTTAATATCTTTAAACATATTGACTGTAGAAAGATCTCTAACACATCCGATGGGTGGATGAACTCGGAGGTTTGAATTCAAGTAAACTTCTCTTCAATGGAAGAGGTCATCATCTCAGATTTCTGACACCGTTCTGCAAAACTAGATTGTTTGTGATTTCCAACATGGATGATGGCCATGCATATGCCACTGCACTAGAAGAAGACAGCAATACAAACCATGCATCCTCTTCAGAACCCGAAACATTCTTTAACAAATGGTCTCCTCCAAGTTACTTATTTATCTGTTCTTGTCCTTGCCGGGCAGGTTATTATTCGGATTCTGAAGGGTAAAGTCCACTGGAGGAATACCCTCCAACAACTGGAGAGAGTTGGTCCTAAATCAGTCGGAGTTTGTCCTCTAACCGCGGCATTCGTTGGCATGGCCTTTGCTATTCAGTTTTTTAGAGAATTTACCGATTGGGTTTGAACCGATCAGTTGATGGTGTCTTGGCCTTGGCATTCTCAAGGGAGCTAAGTCCTGTGGTAACATCGACTGTTGTTGCCGGGCATATTGGAAGTGCATTTGCTGCAGATAGGTCTCTGAGCAAACAGATACACTGAGAGTTCTTGGATCAAACCCTGTTGATTATTTGGTAACACCTAGAGTTATTGCTTCCTCTTTAGCTATACCTTTCTTGACTGATGTGTTTCACAGTAGGGATGGCATCGAGTGCCATACTGGGATCCGGCCTATGCGTTTCGATTAAGTCTAGTGGATCACATTATGATTATTAAAGACATTTTCCGAAACCGTTATTCTATCAATATAAAATCACATTATAAATAACATAAAATTATAAACAAATTATACTATCAAAATCCAACTCGTAAATATAGTACCAATAAGTAATAAATTAATTTAAAACATGCCTTCAAATTCAAAATCACAATAAACCGAACAGTAATAGCAAAAGAGTCATCATTATAAAATCCGATATTTTAAAATAAGGTCCATGTCACCAAAATAAAGTCAACTTGCAAAATAAAAACATTACAATCTAATTTACTTCAAGAGATATGTTGATCCTCCAAGTGCTCGAACCGAGGTATCTAACCAACAGTATCTGAAAAGGGGAAAACAATTTCGAAAGGTGAGCTAGGCTCAGTGTGTCCCAACATTTTCATAAAATCATAATAGGTACAAATCATTGTCCAGTAAATCTCACAAATTCATAAAAGAGTTTAACTTTTGAAAATCATAGTTTAAACCCTTTTCTGGTATACCATCAGTAGTTCCCAAAATTATTTTCCATATAGCTTACTTTATGCACATAGCAAAAAGAAAGCTGACTTAAGGATAGGCTATGAAGCTTGTATCCTTAAGTCCAAGTCAATAAGTCCATATAGCTTACCCTAGCACACAGCAAAGGAAAACCGACCTAATGAAACATCTTGGGGCCCTCAAGAGTCACATTAGACCCATTTAGCTTGATCAGAGCTATTCTATCGTAATTCAATTCCAAAATTCAATTGCACCGTGACATAAATTCCATAAATCCAAAAACATGGTAATCATATACCATTTCAAAACAAAAATTAGATAGCATCCATATTTCATAAATTGTCACATTAAATTGGTGCATCCATAAAATAATAGCTAATGAATTCGGTGTACCACATATTAAAACCAATAAAACAGTTCAGTAATAAGTAGGGAACACACCTCGATAATAGGTTCAAATAGCAAATCTACTGATTGTTGGTTTCACCACGCTCTGCTACAGTTTTCGAACCTATTTTACAATAACACTATATTACTTATGAGTAATATAAATATATCTCTAAAATCATAAAATTTACGGGTCTTACGGGTGAATACTGGCACATGTGATTTAACTGATCTAGAAGAGCTGGGTCGAGCTGTCGAACGATCCGGAGAGTCTCTTGTACCTTCAAACAATAATAATTTATCAGTCTCAAATCCTATTTAATTGTTCAAAGCTAAACTTCTTAAGTATATAAGCATTTTTCGGGTTTGACTATCAATTTAGGGTATTTCGAGTCTGAATTTGGCCAAACGGATTGCGGAATCGAAATCAGGACGTCGAAAAACATAAAGTATGACTTTCCGAAAATTCAAATTCTTGGTCAAAGTTAAAGTCAACCACTTTGACCGTCAATTTGGAAGCCTTCGGGTTCGAATTTGACAAAACGGACAGCGGAAACAGATTTGGCACGTCGAAAACTATCAGGATAGGTATACTCGGAAAAGATTAACTGTCGTTTAATGCTCGGTCAAAGCCATTTTAAGTTTTGGTCAAAGGAAGTCAACGATCAACGGTCAACGGTCGGGTCGGGTCAACGGTCGGGTCGGGTCGGGTCAGACCGGTCAAACCGGTTCAGATCGGTCAAAATGGTTCGAACCGGTCGAAACCGGTCAAATCGGTCAAAACTGGTTGAAAACCGGTCAAACCGGTTTCCAGCAGCGTCCACTCTCCCTGCGGCGGCGCGTGTGGCGCGTGAGGCCTCCTCCGGGGCCCTAAAAATCCCGAAAAAATTTCTAAAAATTATTTTGAGCGATTTCGAGATACTTACAATGATCGGTTTAAATTTTTGAACGGCGGAAAACTCGATTTCAACTCGGCCGAATCTTTGACTGCTCCACCTCCTCACGCGCCGCCGTCTACGGCGAACAAGGTTGACACCGACGGACTCGCAACGACACAAGGAACACGATGGTGCTGGAGGTGTCGTAAACGGAGCAACGATCGGCGGTGAATTTAAGATTTTCCCGGCGATAGAGCTAAAAAAAACGTCGATACTTTGACTGGAAATTCCAGACGTTTGGCTACGTTTCGCTATAATTGATTTACTGGGTTTTGTTCACGGGTCGAAGATGAACACGACGGTGGTTTCAATTTTACGATTGGAGGTCGAACGACTTCAGAATCGTACTTGGAAGTAAGGGTACAAGAGGAGAAAAACTTAAGCAA